CCTCTGCATTCCAGCCTGGGCGACAAATGGAGATCCTGTCTCAAAAAATAATAATAAATTTTAAAAAAAGGAAATAACAGCACCTGCTGCACAGGGTGAAGAAAACTGAGTGAGGCGCCTGATCTAAAGGTCTTGCACAGTGTGTGGGATCCAGTGGGTGCTTTATAAATGATATAATTCATCACTACACATCTTCTCTCCTACAAGCCTGGAAGTGACTTGAAGTTTTCTAATTTCCCTTTTTGTTCTCAGTGACTAATATTCATTCCTTGAATGCTGCAGGTACTCAGCAAAAACTCCTTGCATTGAATTTAAGAATTCCCCTGCACCTTCCCAGTTTACTTATTTCAACACCCCCCCAAAAATGCAGGAAAAAAATAAACAAAAAAGCCATACATTACCTGAGTTAAAATACAGTGTTAGGTCTACACACCAGGATACTGTACGGCTTCTTACTACACCTTAACTTTCTAAGCCTGAGAAGTCTCAACTGTTATTACATAGTTAATTTCAAAGAAATACTTCTAAGCTAGCACTTTTCTCCAAACCGGTCCCTTATTTCAGCCCTAAGAACACACGATTTCTGCAGCTCCACGGACACACCACCTCCTGCTTGCTTTCCTTCAGAGGGACGCTAGTGGACCACTCTCAAGACTTTAATCTCTATGCTGCTTCCTTTCCTAAGCAAGGAAACAAACTATCCTTGAAATTGAGCACGGGGAAGGCCAAGACCATTAACAAAAGAATGTGAACTTTTTATATAGAGAGCCCTTTAAAGCTGCTGGTTTGGAAATAAACTTGAGTCCGCAAGCTTCCCACCGAGCGTGCTTTCCTGCTTCTGACAGCCAGCAGGGCTGGAGCAGCATTGTCTGGGGAGAAACACGCCGGGACTGGCCAACTTTTCGTTAAAGATGGTGCCATCCTACTCAGAACAAAGTGAAAGGTCAACGGAGCGAAGGAAGAGCTCCGAGAGGAGGGACAGCCTCGCCTCGGCCGGCGCTCCAAAGTTGGCCGGCCCCGCTACTTTTCCTTTTGTCCTCCGCACCTCCCCGGCACCCTGGCCGAGGCCCTCCCCGCAGATCCGGCTCGCGGGCGGCGGCGGCGGCACGGGGTCCGCGGGGGACGCGGGCGCAGGTACGCGGCCGCCTCCCTCACCTGCGCCCCCGCCCGCACCACCAGCCGCCGCCCGGCCCGCGCCGCGCACAAAGCGCGCCCGGCGGGAGCGCGGGCCGGACGCCCGGCGGCCTCGGCCCGGCCTCGGCCTGAGGCGGCGGCGGCAGGCGGCAGCGGCGGGGGGGCGCAGGGCCCCGCCCGCCCGCCGGCCGCCTGCCGCCGCCGAGCCCGGTTCTTCGCCCCCGCGCCGCCTCCGCCGCTGCCCGCCGCCCCCGCGCCGCCCCCCGCCGGCCCTGCTGCTCACCTCGGCATCGGCGGCGGCCATGGCCCGGGCCCGCAGCGTGGCCCCGCCCCTCCCGCGCGCCATCGCCCCGCCCGCGCCTCGCGGCCCAGAGTCGGGGCGGGGCCGATCGCCTACGTCTGCGCCTGCGCCTGCGCCCGCGCCTGCGCGTTGGAGCCCGACCGGTGCGGCGCCTGCGCACTGGGACCAGGCGTGCGGCGCCCCAGGCGCCGGGCCTGCGGCGGCCGGAAGCGGAACGCGCGCCCTCGGGATAGGAGACCTAGAGCCGGAGAACCCGCCCGCCAGAGTCGTGGTAGTGGATGGGGAGTAGCCTTCCCATTTTCAACACATATCTCATTCTAAATTGACGTTCTGGTGGGCTGGCCGAAGGAGGAGAAAGACCTGCGGCTCCGACCTCTGACCTCTAACCCCGGACGCACTTTGATTTCGCCGGCTTGCGCGGAAGGCTGACTCCCTGGGCCGCGGCCTGGCGGGGGAGCCGCCTGTGGGGTGTCCCCGGCGCGGGAGGGTGCTCTGGTTCAGGCAGGTTCCCGTGGCGGCGGGGGTTCCCCGGTTGGGAGGAATGCTCCTGCCGAGGGGTGCTCCGGCTGGAGGGGGTGTCCCGAACGGCGGGGATGCCTGGACTGGCGGGGGGTGTTCCACTGGGGAGGGATGCCCGGTGGGGAGGTGCCTGGCGGGGGAGCGGCTCCGGCTAAGCATGGGTGCTGTGCTAGGAGGATGTGTCTGGCTGGGGGCGGTGTCCCAACCGGGAGGGTTGCCCTGATGGGGGAGGTTCCGCAGTTGTGGAGATGCCAACTTGGGGGGTGCTCCGGTTGGGGGTGTGTGCCCTCTGGTTACCCCGCTCTCCCTGCCACCCATATACCTGCTGCCCAGGTATGCACAAGCCAAGGCTTTTTCTGCAGACCAAGTAGCCTTCCCTGGACAGCGCCCCCAGCACCACAGAAACTATCTTAGGCTATATGCCCCGCTGTGGTCAGCCCGCCTTATCCCAGCCCCCAGACCCAAAACAAGAAGCATGGACTGAATTTGAGGTTTCTGGATGGTCGCGTGAACCGAGGGGACGGGTACTGTAGTGACAAGAACTGAGTCTTGAAGGTCAATCTGGGTGACACCCGAGTCTCCCGGTGAGTCGGACCCCGGAGAATTATCCCAAGTCCAGGATAGACAGTGCACTCAGAGACAGAAAAGGAAACGGACAATCCCAAGTGCCAAGAGAACCTTCCCAGGTTTCTTTAGGACAGCTCAACTGCTCTGTCAAAGCTTAAGTCCATTCATGACAGGCCGAGCACCCTGAGCCCTCGCAGGAGACACTAGCACCCTCCTGCCCCGCCCTGCCCCACACTCACCTCTCTGCTGCCCCTGCTGCTGTCTGTCCCTTCCCTGAAACCTTTATTTCAAGTGTCTTTGTGGCTTGCTTCTTTACCATCCTGGAGTTTAACTATCAGCTCTGCAGGGAAGCCTTCCCTCTCCTCCCTAGCTGAAGTGAGACCGCCGCCCATGCCGGTCTTCCTCGCCTCACTTTGCTCCATCACAGTGTGTGACATCTGACTGTCCACATCCTGATTTGGAATATTGTCTCCCCCTAGAATGTAAGTCCATGGTGCCTAGAACAATTCCTGGTGTGCAGGAGATAAAAGTATTTTGTTGACTGGGCTGGGCGCGGTGGCTCATGCCTGTAATCCCAGCACTTTGGGAGGCCGAGGCGGGCGGATCACGAGGTCAGGAGATCGAGACCGTCCTGGCTAACACGATGAAACCCCGTCTCTACTAAAAATACAAAAAATTAGCCGGACATGGTGGCGGCGCCTGTAGTCCCAGCTACTCACAAGGCCGAGGCAGGAGAATGGCCTGAACCCGGGAGGCGGAGCTTGCAGTGAGCTGAGATTGCGCCACTGCACTCCAGCCTGGGCCACAGAGCGATACTCTGATATCTTAAAAAAAAAAAAAAAAAAATTATTGACTGAATAAAGGGAGTTAAAATGTGAAGAAAAATCCTTTACCAAGCAAACATCCACCCTAAGTGAAGGTGTGGGAAGCAGCTTCAGGCAGCTTTTTCACTCCATTTTGCAATCAGCTGCTCCCCTTGTGTGCCCCTCAGCACTTGTCAAGGTGCTGCTCTCAGCACATGACATGCTAACCCTGCAAACTTCAAGTTGGTCCTGAGAGGCAGGCACTGCTCTTACCCACATTTTATAAGTGACTGAACTGAAGCAAGGGAGTGGTGAGAGGCAGTGATGGGATTCAAGCCCAGGAGGCCTTCCTTTCAACCACAGACTGCTTCCAGCAGGTACCACCTGTGGTACTTTCTGCTGTTCTCCAATATTCATGCTGACCGTCCCACAATTAGTAAAATTTTAGCCAAGTACAGGACTGCGTGGCTAAAGACCACATTTCCAATGGGAAGGGGACAGGTCAGAGACAAAAAGTGACAATCTACTTCCCAGTCTGTCCCTCAAAAGTCCCACCATTAGGCCGGGCAGTGGTGAAAGCTGTTAACAGCCATCTGGGAGCCAGGGATGGGAGCCACTACGTAGGAATGACAGCTCTGCCATGATGACAGGATCTGCCCCTCTGGACTGTTCGAGAAATAAACTGTCATGCTATGAGGGTGGGGGGCTGTCTGTCCCCTACAGTCCCAGGAGTTTTTTGTGGGGTTGTTTATTTTTTGAGACAGAGTCTCGCTCTGTCCCCCAGGCTGGAGTGCAGTGGCGCAATCTCAGATCACTGTAACCTCTGCCTCCCGGGTTCAAGCGGTTCTCCTGCCTCAGCCTCCCGAGTAGCTGGGATTACAGGCATGTGCCACGATGCCCAGCTTTTTTTTTTTTTTTTTGTACAGACAGAGTTTCATTATGTTGCCCAGGCTGATTTGAAACTCCTGACCTCAAGCAATCTGCCTGCCTTAGCCTCCCAAAGTACTGGGATTACAGGCAGGAGCCACCGTGCCGGCCTGGTCCTGTGCATTTTATAGATAAGGTAACTGACAAACCTAGCCACAGCCACCTCTTCATCCTATAGAACTGGAATTTGAACCCAGAGTCGTCCTTCACTACCACCTCCATTGTTTCTGGAAGCGCGCTCCAGGCAGGCTGGCCAGCATTACAGGGCCTCCCTGGGGGCCCCTTTGGGAACGCTGCTCCACAGAACCCTGCCTCTCAGGTCTTGGAGATGTGGGCAGGAGAGAAGCTGTGTCCCTCAGAGCCAGGCCTGGCAATGATGCCAGTAGGGGCCGAGGCAAGCCCTCCACATGCCCGCAGGTTTCTCAGCAGGGGAAGTCCACACCACGCCACCTGGGAACCTGGGTGCCTAAACACAGCAGGAGCCGAGGCACAAATTTAACCAGATGCCAAGGTTGCGTGAGCCCCAGTTCGTGAGCCAGGCTCCAAGGACGTTTCCTTAGGTGGCTCTGGAAGGCCCAGCGCCAGCCCCCGTCCTCTGTTAAAGGGAACCAGCCTGAGCGCAACCCCAGGGTAGCAGGGGTACCCGAGGAGCGGGCTATGCCCTGGCAGGAGCAGAGCCCAGGATGGGGTCAGGGTCAGGCCCTGCTGGAGGCTGGAGGGCGCCCAAGGCGAGGCCGGTGAGGCCCAGCTCTACAAATACAGCGTTTTATTTACAGGAGTCTCTCCAGGTCCCAGCTCCCTGCCACCCCCACCCCAGCCCCAGGGAGAAGAGGGTGGACGCCAGAGGAGCTGGCAGAGGCTGGGCAGGTCCTGAGTGGGTCAGGCCAGGCCGAGAGAGAAGGCACGAGGCCCTGGGCGCCCCAGTCCCAGGGCAGAGGCCAGGCCTGCCTGGAGAAGGCAGCACGGGGTCAGCTCTCAGGGGTCAGGCTGGGGTCCACGCCGCCGCAGCTCTGCTCATAGGACGGTGGGGCCTCTGCAGGGAGAAAGCAGGGTCTGCATGGGGCTCCTGGCGTCCCCTCCCTGCCAAGCCCTGGCCCTTGACTCACCATAGGGGTAGCCCCAAGAGCTGTACTCTGGAGGAAGAATCAAGGTGCTGGTGGTAGGCACTGGTCCCCCAGAGCCCTCTGCAAAGTAGGGGACAGTGGCACCTGTTGAAATGCACAAGGGAGGCCGAAGCGGATATGAGGCAGGGCTGCCATCCTGAGGACAGGGCTCGGGGGCACCAGGCACAGAACCCAAGGTGGCCAGCAGGGGCTGCTGCTGCGAATGGCTCTTGGTGGAGAGGGAGACCGGGTCCAAGAAGTGGGGGCCGCCAGCCGCAGCCTCGGCCTCCTCCTGGGGTGGTGCAGAAGGCACCACCAGGGGTGGGGCCCAGGGAGGCAGCCCTGGACCTGGCCGGGGGCTCAGTGGGGCATGGTTCACAGCAATATTGCCAATGAAGACCGGGAGGGTCACAGTAGCTTCCGGTGCCTTCAGAGAGACCTGGACAGGATTGAGGTGGGGCATGAGGGGCCAGGGCCAAGGCCACTAGGCCTCAGGCCACCCAGCCCCCACCAGCACCAAACCTGTAAGTAGTAGTCGATGTGGATGAGGCTGCAGCCTGGCAGGGCCGACTGGGGCAAAGCAGGCACCAGGATCTGCTCATGCCACTGTGCCCGCCGCCAGGCCTTGACGCCCGCACCCTCCACCTCCGCAATGGTCCGTACGTCGTGGATCCAGCGCTTGGCCTTATAGGACACTTTCTGGGGAAGGACCAGCCTGTGAGCCTGTGCAGGCTGCCAGCCCACCCCAGGAGGCCAGTCCGGGCAACTGCCGGGGGCTCTGACCTGCAGCAGACTGGCCACCACAGGGCTGGTGTCCTTGCCTGACTGGTTCTCAATGTCGGCGTGCAGCTGCAGTGCCTGCCCCACCACATAGCCGCGGAGATCAGTGCTGGCTGTGAGGACCACGCTGCCCGTCTTCACCAGCTTGTAGGAGAACTTCTTGGTGGCAGAGGCCACATTGGGTTGCTTTGGGGGAGGGCCAGGGAGAGGCTTAGCAGGTGTGGGCAGGCTGGATCCCTGTGGCATCAGGACAAGCCCCTCAGCCCTGCCATGCCCTGCCCCTGGAGACCAGCAGTCAGCTCAGGGCAGAGAGGCCACTGCCTCCAGACCCTGGCCCCCCTCACCTCAGCTGGGGACAGGACACCGGGATGAAGCAGTGCCTGCCCGGCTCTTCCCCAGCCCCCACGAGGGTGGGGACCCACCAAGGAGGTCACTGTGCCATCCTCACCTCAATGTCTGGGATGCTGTTCAGATTCAGGGGGCTCAAGATATAGAACACGAGGCTGCACTTGTGATCCTTGGAAAACCGTGGCGTGTGGATGGCGGCCCTCACCTGGTGCACGATCTTCCCAAAAGGACCCTCAAAGGACGTGGGTGCTGTGGCTGGGGAGAGAACAGGCACTGGCACCCGGCTGCCTTCACCCTGCAGAGCCCACCTCCCAGGACCAGTTGGTCATCACCAGGCCTGTCCAGGCTGGGCTCTTACCAGGAAGCAGGAACTGGAAGGGGAAGCTGTGCTCACCAGCGGGCAGACTCCCTGCAGAGACAGGAGGGAGGTGGGGGGCGGTGGGGACAGGCCTCCGGAGGCCTGAGGGGGCCACAGGGCCAAGATAAGAGTGGGACTGCAGCTGACCAGCTCACACGGGGTCTCCCTGTCTCAGTCACCAGCAGCACAGGGCTGTGGCCTGGGTGAAGGACTGAGGGTAAGGGCTGGAATAGGAGAGTGGTTTGGGAATGGGGCAAGGGTGAAACAGCTGTGCCAGGAGTCAGAGCCCACCCACATCCAGCACAAGTGGAAGGTGGCCCCTTCAGCCACCCAGCCCCTGTGAGAAACCCATCAGGGCCCACAACCCTGGGAGAAGATGGGCCAGTGCAGGATCCAAGAGGCAGGTCTAGGAAAGGGGGAGGACAGGCAGGCCCCACTCCAAGGGGTGCCCCCAGGGGTCACCACTTGGGACCAGGTCAGGAACTGGCTCCCAGACTTACCCTTGTCCGCCAGCGACAGGGAACTGTTGAAGTAGTCCTCCTCCGCTACCCACGCTGCGTCGTTAGCCTTGTTGGAGACCCCGCAGGAACCCGTGCATGTCACCCGGATGGCTGCCAAGGGGAAAGCTGCATGAGCCCCACCCAGCCGACGGCCCAGGAATTCGACCTGGGGCCCAACAGCCCCGCCTGGGCAGGGTCCTGGGAAGGCCAGTGAGCAAGCAGCCCCTGCCACTTCAGGGGACACCTCCTGCCCGTCTCCTGTCTTGGGGGCTCCAAGGGAGCCGGGCTGGCGAGGGGCCTGACCAGCACAAAACAATGTCTGCCCTGCAGCCCAGAGCAGAAAGGCCCCAGCGCTCATCCAGATGGCGGCTGGGTCGTCCCCCAGACTGGTAACCTGGCTGTGAAAGCCCAGCTGCTTGCGGGGATCCTGGTGGGGGGCACCTGGGACACTCCAAGGGACGGATGCGTCTTCTTGCTGCCCTGTAGACAAGTCAGTTAGGCAGGGAAGGACCCCTCCACGCTCCAGGAAGCTAAAGCTAACTGGCAACCATCATGCTGCAGGAATGTGGCCAGACCCGCCTGGGCAGACAGTGTTCCACAGTCGGCACACCGCTGGGTAGGGCCCTACTTTCTGGGCCAGCATTGCCCAGCGGGGCTGACTTTCTGCATCAGGAGACGGCTTGGTTCTCTCTGGCCTCCCCGGGGGAGTGCCAGACCAGGAACTGCTTGAGGCAGAGGTTGCCACTGTTCTGTGGCCAGGAACACAAATTCCTCAGTCCAACAGATGTGTGTCCAGAAACCACGATGGTCAGATCATGGCTGGACAACCAGGTCCAGCAGAAACTGGTCACAAGGGAGGACAGACGCAGCAAAAGCACACACAGCACCAGACCCAGGTGGGCAGGGGTTGGGGGAGCCATCAGCAGGCCACCCGCAGCTCCAGCCCCTCTTCTCCCTGCAAGGCTGAGTCAGGGCCAAAGATGGCCACTTCCCTGCCTCGTCCTGGTGGGGGTCACGTGAGGGGAAGGTGACTCAGACTCTCAGACCTGCTGAGGGAGCACCCAGGGAGGAGGAGTATCGGTGTGTGGTGCGCCCAGGGCCAGCCATACCTGCCTCCCCTATGGTCTCCCCAGCAGGCCCCACCTGTGGCCCAGGCCTTCTGCCGGCCACCAAGAGCAGCAGGGTTCTTCTCAAAATCCTTGGCCCAACCGCAGCCCCACGTGGCTCTCCATACACATCCTGCCCTTCCCCTCAGCAGCTGCCAGACCCAGTCCCCCATCCCTGAGGGAGGCCCTTGCTTCCTGCTACACGTCCTCTAGCCCCTGGGCACTGCCATGGCCTGGCCTCAGCCTCCATTCCAGCCCAGCCTTGCCACCCCAACCTCGGTCCATTTTTTGTTTTCTTTTTTTTTTTTTTTTTTTTTGAGACACGGTCTCACTCCCGCCGCCCAGGCTAATGTGCAATGGCACAATCTCAGCTCACTGCAGCCTCAACCTCCTGTGCTAAGCGATCCACCCATCTCAGCCCCCTCGAGTAGCTGGGACTACAGGCACATGCCACACACCTGGCTTTTTTTTTTTTTAATAGGGTTTCACCATGCTGTCCAGGCTGGTCTCAAACTCCTGAGCTCAAGCAATCCACCTGCCTCAAACTCCCAAAGTACTGGGATTACAGGCATGAGCCACCATACCCAGCTCTGCCCTGATTTTGAATCCATGGTGTGTTAGCCAGGCCCTCCTAGGGCCAGACCCTTACTGTTTCCAGGCTGAACATCTGGAATACTGGTGATTCTCCTGTGAGCCAGCAGACAGCCCAAGAGGAGCACGCAGGCATCAGCAGGCACAGAGGAGGCAGGCGTGGCTGAAGCAAGGAGAGTAGGCCTGGGGACTGGAAATGCTGCAATGCCTTTAACACTCCTGACAGACTGCACATCCCCACCTTGAATCCCACAAATGCTGGGACCCAGCTGGGTACGGTGGCTCACACCTGTAATCCCAGCACTTTGGGAGGCTGAGGCGGATGGATCACTTGAGGTCAGGAGTTCAAGACCAGCCTAGCCGACATGGTGAAACCCTATCTCTACTAAAAACACAAAAATTAGCCGGGCGTGGTGGCAGGCGCCTGTAATCCCAGCTACTCAGGAGGCTGAGGCAGGAGAATCACTTGAACCCGGGAGGTGGAGGCTCCAGTGAGCGGAGATCATACAAATGCACTTTAGCCTGCGTGACAGAGCAAGACTTCATCTCAAAAACAAAAAACGCTGGAACCCACAGAGGATGCTGTAAAGGGAGCAGTGGTCCCCAGACTAACTGGTATGCCAGCCAAGCACCCTCAAGTGATCCTGGCTGGTGGCACAGAACTGAATATTCACCCTGCCCCCACTGTCCATATTCCTAACCCACAACACTGAGAGATATAATAAAATCGTTGTGTTAACTATTTAGGAATGGTGTGTGACTTGAGGTGACAGCTACTTTTATGTAGTAGTCCCAGCTACTCGGGAGACTGAGGCAGGAGAATGGCATGAACCCAGGAGGCGGAGCTTGCAGTGAGCCAAGATCGTGCCACTGCACCCCAGCCTGGGCGGCAGAGCGAGACTCGGTCTAAAAAACAAAAACAAAAAACGGCTAGGTCTGGGCTCATGCCTATAATCCCAGCACTTTGGGAGGCCGAGGCCGGCGGATCACGAGGTCAGGACATCGAGACCATCCTGGCTAACACAGTGAAACCCGGTCTGTACTAAAAATACAAAAAATTAGCCAGGCACGGTGGCGGCGCCTGTAGTCCCAGCTACTCGGGAAGCTGAGGCAGGAGAATGGCATGAACCCGGGAGGCAGAGCTTGCAGTGAGCCGAGATCACGCCACTGCACTCCAGCCTGTGCAACAGAGCTAGACTAAGTCTCAAAAAAAAAAAAGAAAGAAATTAGGGAAAACCCAAATTATCTACCATTTCAATCCATCAGATTGACAAATATTAAATGTCTCAACACAGCTGGGCGCAGTGGCTCACACCTGTAACCCCAACACTTTGGGGGGCCAAGGCGAGCAGATTGCCTGAGGCCAGGAGTGTGACAGCAGCCTAGGTAACACAGTGAAACCCCGTCTCTACCAAAACTACAAAAGATTAGCTGGGTGTGGTGGCGTGTGCCCCTGGTGCCAGTCACTCAGGAGGCTGTAGTGGGAGGACTCATCGCTTGAGCCCTGGAGGCAGAAGTTGCAGTGAGCCAAGATCGCACCACCGCATCCCAGTCTGGGTGACAGAGTGAGACCTCATCTCAAATAAAATGAATGTCTCTAGGCCGGGTGTGGTGGCTCACGCCTGTAATCCCAGCACTTTAGGAGGCTGAGGCGGGCGGATCACTTGAGGTTGGGAGTTCGAGACCCACCTGACCAACATGGAGAAACCCCGTCTCTACTAAAAATACAAAATTAGCCGGGCATGGTGGTGCCACATGCCAGTAGTCCCAGCTACTCGCGAGTCTGAGGCAGAAGAATCGCTTGAACCAGGGAGGCGGAGGTTGTGGTGAGCAGCTGAGATTGCGCCATTGTACTCCAGCCTGGGCAATAAGAGCAACGTACATGAATAAATAAATGTATGTCCCACCACACGTTGGAGGGAGGTGGAAAACAAACACCCCTTACACCAGTCAAATTGCAGACAGGTATGAGGTACTGGCAAAGAGTGGGACAGGTCTACTGTAAATTTACCTGTGCATACCAGGAAACCCAGAATTCCGCTCAGAATCTCATGGTATTTAACTAGGAGCCTCACACACCACTGCTCATACTAGCAAAGCATCGCTAAAACCGTCATGGGACACCTGACTCCACAAAAACAAACAGTATCCAACTGACCCTTGGGTCATCCTAAGGGCCCAGGCTCTGTGATCTTCCCAACGCCCATGTTCTGCACATACACCAAGGCTCTTGCAGATGACTCTGCCAGCGTGAGCAGCCTCCAACCACTGTCCAAAGTGAAATCTGTCCTGAGCTGCCCACACTGTCCTCAGTAAGAACACGGGAGGCACCGCACAGCTGGTTCCTTTCCAGCCGGAAAGCTGCTTCCTTTCCAAAACACCTGGAGCTGCTCCTCCACCTCTCAGCAACTGCTTCAGGCCAGGCTGGCTGAATTCCCCAGGGAGCCCATTTTCACTGGCCAGGCCAATGGCAGCGGCCATGTTTCTGCCTTTTCAAACCATCGAATCAGGCAGGACCACAGGATGCAGTTCTGCCCACAGAAGCCAGAGCCGTGTGTGGGGTCCATTGTGAGGGGTCTCCTTGCTGCCGGAGAGAGGCATATGACCCCACTCCCTCTTCTTTCCAGCTTGCAGACTGCTTGTAATGGCAGAACAGGCTGAAGGGAACCAAGCCTTTTGCAACAGGAAAGCCGCCAGGCAGGGCTTGGCTGCAGGACTGAGTGGCTCAGTGGCAGTTGCCTAGTCAGAATGTGACTTCTTCCGCCTTCTGGACTTGAATGTTGCACCTCTTTGCAGGGGCCCTGCAAGCCCCGTCCCTCTTCCCCCATGCAGGTTTAAAAATGTTTCCTAGGCCGGGCATGGTGGCTTACACCTGTAATCCTAGCACTTTGGGAGGCCAAGGTGGGCAGATCACAAGGTCAGGAGATCGAGACTATCCTGGCTAACACGGTGAAACCCCATCTCTACTAAAAATACAAAAAAATTAGCCAGGTGTGGTGGCGAGCGCCTGTAGTCCCAGCCACTCTGGAGGCTGAGGCAGGAGAACAGCGTGAACCCGGGAGGCGGAGCTTGCAGTGAGCCGAGGTCGCGCCACCGCACTCCAGCCTGGGCGACAGAGCGAGACTCCATCTCAGAAAAATAAATAAAATAAAATAAAAATAAAAAATGTTTCCTAAGTGTGTTCAGATGCACAACCAAGGACCAGCTGTTGGAGGCTGCTCTGACTCAGGAAGCTCATGATTGGGCCGTGTTCTCGAGGGACCACTGGAACTTTCTTCTCGAGTTCAGGAGCCCCTCCTTTGCACCACCTACACTTGGACCAAGAAGACCCACCAACTCCTCATCCTCATCCCAAAGGACTCATGCCTGCCACAGAAGCTGTGACCTGTAAGCCACTCCCCCAGTCCTGTTTCCAAATCTGTATCATGAGAGTAACAACCACGCCACAGGGTGCTGAGCGTTACTGAGGCTGGCCCATGGGATGTGGAGAGAATTTGCATCAGGCCTACCATGAGTGCTCCGAGAACCACTGTCGATCCTGGTCGCCCATCCCAGTAACAGAACACGAGGTGGTCCTGCCTGACCCCCAGCCCTGGATTGGGCCAGCCTGGGCTCCAGAAAACTGCTCCTTCCCAGGCCTCCCTCTGTGTCAGCCCTCGAGACAGCAGGCGTCCTCACGGCTGGGTGCTGACCGTCACCGACACTCATCGGCAGAGTAAGTGAGCAAGCCCAGGGGCCCAGGCAGGGCTGCTGTCCTCCTGCGGGCTGAGGGCCTCCCTACTGGCTCCTAGCAGGATTGACAAGCATCCTTTGAATGAGGAAACGATGACATTCCGTTCCCATCCCAGGCAGGGCTGGGGGAAACCCCCGGGAACCCCTGTACAACCCTCCCACCTCACTTGCAGCAGCCTGAAATATGTGCTCTCTGGCCCATCAGGGCCCATCTCCTACTCCCTAGTTCATGACCCTCCTTTTTCTCCCTCACTCGGACCAGCCTCTGTGAGCCAGTGCTACCTCAGCTCTTGGGCCAGCTGCCCAAAGTGCTGGGATTACAGGCGTGAGCGTTCACCCACCCACCACGTCCACCCGGAGGCCGGGGAGCCTGCTCACCCAGGCCAGTCACGCACCGCGAGGCCATCCCTTCCCTGTGGTCAGCAATGGCCTGCTCGCCCCAGGCCGCGCCAGGGGAGGGACGACAGGGCCCTGCACTCCCCTCGGCCCGCCTCACCCCACACCTCACCTGTATTCAAGGGATGCATGTGCTATCTCTGCCCTGCCACAGCCACACCTGCCCCCACCCAGACCCCAAACTCAAGCTGGGGACAGAGGAAGGGAGCCTGTGGGGTCATCCCAGGAGGCCCAATGGGGCCAGGAGCCTGACAGAAGCACCTACCACCAGGCTTCTTCGAGGTCCCACAGCCCCAGGCGGTGGAGGGTCAGGGCCACAGCACCATCACCTGTCCCAGGCGGCTGAGAGGACAGAACAGAGGCTGTGGATTCTCAGCAGGCACAAAAGCGGTGCTGTCACCCACGCACAGGCCCAGCGGTCAAGGTCCAGTGGGAAGCCCACGGGCTGTGGCCAAGCAGCCCAGGTGGTTCCCACAGGAGGCCAAGGTAGAGAAGCCCGCGGCAGGGACGCGGCACTCACAACCAGGGGCCGGGCAGAGGCCTGTGCGGAGGCCCCCATCCTCGGGAGGCAGCCTCACCTCGCTGGCCTGCCCTCACCTCCAGGGCGCCCTGCCAGCGGCCACTGCAGCAACCCGATCCCCAGTCCCCGAGGCCCAGGCGTCCGCCTCGGCGGGGGGCGGGCGAGGCCTGCTGGCGCGGGGCAGGGGGCGCGGGGAGCCGCAGCAGGTGCCTGCACCCCGCCGGGACCGCACGCCCGGGCCAGGAGCGGCTCTGCAGAGGGAGCGCCTGCGCCGGGAGCCCGGGTGCGGGAAGGAGCCCAGCAGGTGCGAGCGCGGACAGGGAGGGTCACAGGCCTGCGTGTGCCCGCACTCAGGGCGTCCTCCACCGTGGACCCGCTTCAGGCCCCGGCTTGAGGCCCCGCCGGGACCACGCCGACCCTCGGCGAGAGGGCAGGAAGGGCAGACGCGGAAGGGCGGCGCCGCCCGGACCTCCCCGGCGCCGCCGAGCCCGCGCCCCAGCAGTCCCGGGCGGCTACGACAGCGACTTCGCGGGCCCAACCCGGGGCCCGGCGACGGCAGCCGCTTCCGGGAACCCTGGCCCAGCGCAGGTGCGGCCAATGGCCCTCCCCGAGGACCCGCGCCCACCTCGGAACGGCAGCGGCGCCCCCAGGCGCACGCGCACGGTCCCAGCCAGCGGCTCCCCGGGGCTGTAGACAACGCGGCCGTGGCTCAGGCTGATCTCGAAGAGCTGCACTCGCCCCATGCCGCGGCCTCACCGGCCCGCCGCACAGTGACGCCCCCGCCGGCCGCCCGCGAGCCCCGGCTCCGAGGTCCGGCCCCGCCCCCTCCTATGCCCCGCCCCCATCCGTCCCAATCCAGGCCACGCCCCCGTCCGGCCCTTCCCAGGCCCTGCCCCGCCCCACGGCCCCGCCCAGACCCCTGGCAGCCCCATCGCCCGCGGGCTGCCGCTCGGAGGCCCGGCCCCGCCCCTATTCCCCGCCCCATCCGTCCGCGTGGCCCCGCCCTGATTATGCCCCGCCCCTCTGACAGCTCCTCGCCCCGCCCCCGCCCTTCGCCCCTGCCTCGCCTTCCCAGCTCCGCCCCTGCCTCGGCCGCCCCACCCCTACCCCGCCCCCCGGCCCCGCTCATCCATCCCCGGCCCCGGCCCCCGCCCCGCTGGGTAGGTGCTGCGCTGCGTCGGGCGCCGCTTAAGGGACTTGAGGCGAAAGAGTCCCCAGCATCCCCCACTGAGGGAGTCACCGCCGCGTCTCTGTCGGGGGGCGGGGCTGGGGGCGGGGCCGAGGCGAGCTCTGGGACTGGGAAGGGCTCCCCGCTGCGCTCTGCATAACCCACGCCTCGCCCCAACCCTCCGCCCGCCCCGCCCAGGGGTCTCCCTCACCCCGAGTCGCGGAAAAACGTCACTGGGCCGCGCGGGCGTCCTGGGCGGGGATGCTCCGCCGCCTAGCACCTGCCCTGCCTTAACCCCCACCCCCGGCTCCTACCCCGCATCCCCCGCCTTCCCCGCACCTACCCCGCGTCCCAGCACCTGTCCTGCCCTTTCGGAACCTGCCCGCCCTCCCACCTTCCCGGTACCTGCCTGCCCCCGCACCTGTCCCGCCCTCCAGCACCTGCCTTGCCCAACCACCGCCCCCCCGCCCGCCCCCTGCCTTCCCCACACCTGCCCGGAGTCCCAGTGCCTGCCCCGCCCTCTGCTATCCCCCTCCCTGCTGGCCTGATGGGGTGCGGGCCCAACGGAGCCACACTTGGGCGGAGGCCCTGGGGCGGGGGTCCGCAACAGAAGGGTCGGGGGCCAGGTGGGGCGAGGACTTGGATCACTGGGAACCGGAGAAACACACTCCTATTTATCTTTCTTAAAGATCCTTTTGTAGAGAGTGAGCTGCGGGGGGGTAGGACTCAAATACCCCGGGGACCTAAGTGGGGAGAGAACCGTTGGATAGTCCTGGAAAGGGAAGGCCTCCCTCGCCTACGGACAAGCTCACCATGGAGTGGGTGAGGCAGGCCCCAGTGCTGCGAGTTTTTCTAGGACAGCTGGTGAAGACGGTGGCCTTCTCTGATGGGGAGGACGGGCCTAGACACACATGGTTTGCTGGTGGGAGACTCATCACATGCGGAGTCTGAGGTGCCACTGATCCCCAAGTGGACCAGGTACTTCCGTGCATGAGCCTGGGAGTCAAGCACTTAAACGTTGCCATCCCTGGTTGGTAGAAGGTAATAGGTCAGGAAGGAGGAGTCCGGCACCCCAGCAAAAGGAGAGGGGCTCACAGGCTGGAGGGGCCCCCAGGCCAGGCTGGGAGAGGCCCTGAAGCCCCAGGCCCAGCTGACTCCCTTGGGATTCCAGTGTTTCAGGAGGTGGGTCTAACTGGCCACGCTCCAGACACTTTCCTGCCAAGACTATGCACACGCAGAATTCCCGAACAAGAGAGAAGGGTGCCATGGGATGGCAAGGATTGTGGACAGCCCTCCCGAATGGCAGTCGGCCATGCCAGAAGTCAGAAAGAAAGAGTTTCACCGGGCACGGTGGCTCGTGTCTGTAATCCCAGCACTTTGGGAGGCTGAGGTGGGTGGATCACAAGATCAAGACCATCCTGGCTAAAACGGTGAAACCCGTCTCTACTAAAAATACAAAAAATTAGCAGGGCGTGGTGGTGGGCACCTGTAGTCCCAGCTACTCAGGAGGCTGAGGCAGGAGAATGGCATGAACCCGGGAGGTGGAGCTTGCAGTGAGCTGAGATCACACCACTGCACTCCAGCCTGGGCAACAGAGCGAGACTCCGTCTCAAAAAAACACAAACAACAACAACAAAAAGAAAGTGTTTCAAGCAGGGAGAGACAGATTGTGTTGCAAGCTACTGAGATGGAAGACAATGGACACAGAACACAGGTGGCCTTTATCCCATGTCAGCCACAGTGTAAGCCCCACAGGGCTCTGCACATCCTTGTTTCTGACCCTATCTCCCACCCATCCTGTATTCCAGAAACCACCACCAGCACCAGTCGCCCTGTCATTAGACTCTTCTCTTCTTCCCCCAGCATACTTTTAGTGGTGCTCTCATGAAAACCTGGCTTCCCCTGGAGCTTTCGGGTGCAGAGACTTCTCTTCACAGGATCCCGCCACCTCTGGGTCTGCAGGTGGGGTGGGGGCCCTCCTGGCTCCTTCCTAACACTGCCAGGCCACTCTCCACCCTGGGAGCCACCATGTGTAAGCCTCCTGGTCTCAGAATCACCAGCACCACCTTTGCTCTGATCAGCATCCTCATTTCTTGTTGATTTTAGCTCCTAACTCACTGTCATTCTCTCCACCTCCACGTGTGGAAACAGTGCTTCTGAATCCCTGCGGGCAATCCTTCCAGCCTCCTGCCCTGTATCCTAAAAGTACATGGGCTTTGTTTGAATCAGGTATGGTAAAGTGACAGACTAGGAGACAAGTGCCACAAAGGAAGAATTTAGTACTCGCGGTTCTCAGGAGGAGGGGCCCCGCCACGCCATGCAGGGCCAGAAGGGGAAGGACCAGGGTCATGAGGAGCCAGGAGAGAGCATGGCCCAGAGCCTTTTTGTGTTTTCCTCAGGGTGAAAATGGACAAGGCAGGGTAGGTAGGTGTAAGCAAGTTTAGGATTAGATATCTTGAATCCTATCGGCAGGCTCTAGGTCACAGCAGGGGGCTCTAGCTGTCTGGTATCGGCCCCTGGGGGATGCAGGGCAGGAGAAATGCTGGCTTGGGATGTAAGAGTCACATCAGGAAGAGGTTGGGGATATGGGCTCTGGATTGGTGTTGATAAAGTTGTTTGCTAGCTCTGGGAATTAGCCAGCCCTGGGAGGGGCAGTGTCTCTCTGACTAGTAAAGCCTCCAAGATGTCAAAGCATAATAACATACAGAAAATGAAAAGTGTGGGCTGGGTGCAATGGCTCCGCCTGTAATCCCAGTACATTGGGAGGCCGAGGTGGGCGGATCACCTGAGGTCAGGAGTTCAAAACCAGTCTGGTCAACATGGTGAAATCCCATCAATGCTAATAACACAAAAAAATTAGCCAGGCACGGTGGTGGTGCACGCCTGTAATCCCAGCTACTCGGGAGGCTGAGATAGGAGAATCGCTTGAACCCAGGAGGTGGAGCTTGCAGTGAGCCGAAATTGGGCCATTGCACGCCAGCCTGGGCTACAAGATCAAAACTCTACCTCAAAAAAAAAAAAAAAGAAAGAAAAAAGAAAGAAAGAAAAGTGTGGTAAACACATGTCCGTCTTGTGGCTCCTCCTCCAAAACCGTCCTCTACCTCGGCAGTCTCCCTCTTAGGGCTTGGTGGTTCGTCCTCAAAGATTCCGCCAAACTTTGCATTAGTGCTGCTCTTCCCACCAGGGGGCTTCCCCAGGAACCTAGGCTGGCCCACAACTTGCTTTAACTGGAAGAATTGCAATGAAACAGGCCGGGCGCAGTGGTTCATGCCTGTAATCCCAGCACTTTGGGAGGCCGACGTAGGCAGATCGCTTGAGATCAGGAGATCAAGACCAGCCTGGCCAACATGGTGAAACCCCATCTCTACTACAAATACAAAAATTAGCCGGGAGTGGTGGCGCATACCTGTAATCCCAGCTACTCAGGAGGCTGTGGCAGGAGAATCGCTTGAACCTGGAAGGCGGAGGCTGCAGTGAGCTGAGATTGTGCCTTGTACTCTAGCCTAGGCAACAGAGCAGGATTCCATCTCAAAAAAAAAAAAAAAAAAAAAAAAAATTGCAATGAAACAGAGGCAGTGCTAGTTCCAAGCCGAACCTAGGAGTCCTGGCAGGTTTTGTTTTCTTGCTCTTGGAGCCCTCAGCTGTCATGTAAAAATTCTGCTTACCTGCTGGAGAGATCACGTGGAGAGTGACAGAACGGCCAGCCTTCTAGGGAAGCCATCTCCTCCTGTAGCCTCCCTCATGCCAAGATGACTACAGCCATCTGAGTGGCACCAGCAGTTTCAGCTGTCTATCGCTGCATAGCAAACCACTGCCCTGATTTATTTCTCCTGAAAACTGTACTGGACTCAGTTGGGAGGTTCTTATGCTGTCTAGCATCCACTGGGGATGAAATGTTGGAGACTTCACTTACCTGTCTGCCATTCCAGCTGGGACGACTGGGACAGCAGGAGGGAACAGACATCTGTTCTCCCACGGGCCTCTCCACATGGCTAGCTTGGGGGTCCTCACCGCATCATGCTGTGGGGATAGTGAGACCAGTCACCTTGTAGGTGGCCCCCAGGAGGGAGGAAGCTGAAGATGGCAGTTCTCAGGCTGAGCTCAGCAGTCTCAGAATTTTCTACCAAATTAATTACATCAAAAACAGTCGTAGGGCCGGGTGCGGTGGCTCACGCCTGTAATCCCAGCACTCTGGGAGGCCGAGGCAGGTAGATCACAAGGTCAAGAGATCTAGACCATCCTGGCCAACATGGTGAAACCCCGTCTCTATTAAAGGTATAAAAATTAGGCCAGGCGTGGTGGCTCACACCTGTAATCCCAGCACTTTGGGAGGCCAAGGCAGGCGGATCAGGAGGTCAGGAGATTGAGACCATCCTGGCTAACACGGTGAAACCCCGTCTCTACTAAAAATACAAAAAATTAGCCGGGCATGGTGGCAGGCGCCTATAGTCCCAGCTACTCAGGAGGCTGAGGCAGGATAATGGTGTGAACCCAGGAAGTGGAGCAGGCAGTGAGCTGAGATCTCGCCACTGCACTGCAGCCTGGGCAACAGAGCAAGACAACGTTACAAAAAAAAAAAAAAAAGAGTCCTAGGAGCAACACACACTCACATGGAAAATTCGATGGTAACAATTGAGACAACCTACCACACCCTA